TCCACAACACATTGTTGCTTTGGTGGTGCATTTAAATGCATCTTCCCTTTATCTCTAGCATTCAAAGTACTAGCTATTTGCCCGATTTGGGTTTCTAGCTTAGCAATGGATTTGGAATGGGAATTGGTGTGGGGTGTCGCTCACCACATAGCTTAAGAGTGTGCACAAAGTTTTACATTTCTAAAAGCCACTACTACTTTCACTGAAAATATAGTTAGGGTGAGTAGGGATCGTCCCAAGGGATTGAGTTGTCGTACTAGCTTGTGGAATCATTATTAGGGTTAGTAGGTCGAGTGATCAAACAAATAGTTGGTTGGTTGATTAAACTAGAGAGCAAATTAAACTAAATAATTAAATGCAATAAAGAGTAAGTAAGAGAGAGAGATCTTGGGGTTTAGAGGTCACAACTAAATAATACTTTTCTACACCTTTAACAAGTGACTAATGAGGGAAATGTGTGTTGCAATATTGATGTGTGTGTGTGTTTGGTTGATTCAATTAGCAAAGGTGACCAATTAAGTATATATTGTCTAAACAACATGTGAAAAACATAATATATCTAATAATTAAGTATATATTGTCTAAGTAACATGTGAAAAGCACAATATATCTAGCAAGTCATTAATCATTTCATTAAGCTCACAATCCAAATACACTACAAGGTTAAAGACATATGCTACTTGCATTCAAAAGTATAGAACATCAAACAACAAGCATAGATTGTCCTCCTATCTAACAACTATGCTACCACTACACTACAATTAAGCTAATGACATGAAATTAAACTAATTAAGCTAAGGGAAAGGCACAATCCATCAAGAAATGAACATGAACCATCAAGAAAATTACAAGAGCATTCCATTAAGCACTATGTCTTGACAATCTCTAGATCTATGACATTAATACACATAGACATGCATCAATAACACAAGAAATAGAGACAAACACATGAACATTTATTCTAGCATATATAGACATATTGATAGAATGAAATGATCAATTGAAAGTATTAAACCACATAAATCATTGAATGAACAAGATCTATATATATATATAAGTGCCAAAACATGTATTACAATAATACACAAAATCAAGATGTAGAAAGCATGCTTGGGGCTAACTTTAGCCCCAAGAGGATGTCTAGCCACTCATGGTAATGCTTCTCCAACCCTCAAGGGCAAACTCCATGGAAGAAATCTATTCCTTGGTTGATGAAGAGCTCCCAAGCTTGTGTTTCTAGCCTTCTCCTCCTTTCTTCCTCCCTAAGTATAACCTCTATTGTGATAGATGAATCTTCCTCAAAAAGTGTATCATATTTTATATATAGGTAGGTCAAGTGACACACAAAATGAGCTGGGGTCGTGCACAAAATATTCCCCAATGATTGGATAAGGACAGCTTTCAATGAGCTGGAAATTTAACTTTTTCGCATTGGAGAAAGTTTGATCGATCGAACCTTGGACTTGGATTGATCGAACATGGCTGAGATCTATCGAACTGAAATTGGATCGATCCTCAATGGCGGCGCCTTTTTGGATAAAAACAAATCTGAGATATTTCGAAGATATTTTTAGGAAAAGGACAAAAGTGGTTGGTAGGGTGGTACAACTAGATAAGATCAATCATTTGGATAAGGACAAGGTAGTTTGATCGATCGAAGAATGATGTTGGATCGATCAAACTTTTGAGATCTCTGAAAATGTCATCATGGCTCTGATCCATCTTGAAGTGCTGAGATCGATTATGTTGGATCGATCGAACTTTGATCTGAGATCGATCGAAGATGTTGAATTCCACCTTTTGCTTCCTTTTTGCTTCCACTTGGCTCCTTTCTTTGATTCATCCCAGAATTGCTTCATTTCTGCTCTTATTTGGCTGAGTTAGCTTTTTTTTGGGATAAGTGCCTAAAAATGGAAATAATACGAAATCAATCTAAAACAGTAAAGTAAGATAGATAAAGGTACTAGAATACTTAAGCTAAAGAGGTTTAAATACACACTTTTCAACGCTCATCAGGAATAAAGCAATTGAGTGTTCGCCTCTAGAGTGCCTAGAGCGGTCAACACTTTCTCCTCGAGACTCCTAGAATTCCCTTGAGAATATGATGATTGGTTAGGAAAATGAGAATTAGAGAATTGATTACCATGCGATTGAAATGATGATGATCTAAAACCTTAGGAACCTTGGCCTTGCATTGGATGTGGAACATACTTGTTTTGAAAACCACCTTGGGGAGGGTTTGAGCCTTCCCCTTGGCTTTTCCAAGAGAAGTTTGGATGGTTCCTCCAACTTGAATTGTAATGAATGTCATAGGGATTATTCCCTTGGTTGACAAATGTAGCATTGACTTGCTCATAGTTTTCACTTGGCACATGTCCGTGGGGACAATTAGAAGTAGAACGTAAAACACCTCAACAAGTCATGCAAGATTCATTATATGCATGATGATGAACATGATTAGGGGAGGAAGACATTTGATTCGCCAAAGTTTGGTTAATAAAAAATGGATCAAACCTTTGAGATAAGGATTTCATCTCGGCGGCTATGTTCTTGGAATTGTCAATTTGATATAAGCCAACATTCTTCCTTCCACTTAGATTTCTACCATTTTTAGAAGATAAGGATCTATGCATTGAATTTTCACTCATACTTTCACACAATTGCCACACATAATCCTCATGCTTATTAAGGTAAGACCCACCCATAGATGCATCAACCATACCCTTGTGACTATCCGGTAAACTTTCAAAGAAATATTGGACTAGTTGCCACTTAGGTATGTCATGATGAGGGCACTTCCTAAGCAAGTTGTTAAACCTTTCCCATGACTCATGAAACATTTTCCCATCCCCTTGAGAAAATTCACGAATGGAAGTCCTCATGGCATTGGTCTTAGAAATTGGGTAGTACTTCTTCAAAAACTCTTGTTGCATTTCTGCCCAAGAAGTTATCAAAAACGGCCTAAGATTGTTAAACCAATATGCCTTGTCCTTAAGAGTAAAAGGAAAAAGTTTGAGTCTTAACACTTCTTCTGTCATGTCCGTGTATTTCACGGTGGAACACACTTCAAGAAACTCATCCAAATGCTTGTAAGGTTCTTCACTTGGAAGTCCATGATAGTTAGGAAGCATTTGAATGATTTGTGGTTTAATCTCATAGTGATGTGCTCTAAATGGGGGTAATTGAATGCAAGTGGGCGCATTGTATTCATTGGGCACATAATGGTCTTTTAAAGCAATGGGAGGATTCACAACTAGCGGTGCTATTCGAACACCTTGATTGCCTTGCATAATAGGAGGTTGTGGAGCAAAAATTGGCCGAGACATTCCTAATGGAACTTGGCCTTGTTGTTGTGGTGGAATGCATGGTCTAGGCATTTCTAATGGTACTTGAATATTTTCATGATGCACATTAAGGTGGAGGATGCCTTGTTGGTCTATGTGACCATGGTCCTCCACATGGTCGTCATTTAATTCCTCCATTGGTAAAATGAAGCGATGAGAACTACCTCTTCCCCTAGGATTACGAACAACCGATTCAAGATGCAAATTAGGAGGGACAAGAGTATGATTTAATGACCTACGACCATGCATACACTATCTAAACAAATAACAAGCAAATAACAATCACTTCGCCCTTACAACAAGTCAATCAACAAACATTCTCCACATACGTTGATCCCATACTCCCATGTTTGAACAATATGCAAAGTAAAAGTAAATTGTCTCCACGCGGGCTCACTATTTATATAAGAATTGAAAAACTTGCCACCACGCGGGTCGACGATTTAACTAGAAATTGAGTTAGAAAGATCTCACAAAGGGTCCTTAAGCAACTTCAATTCATTTTCAATTTTCAAGCCTTGCTATGCTTTGCAATTTTTTTAGATTTTAGCTTCTTTTTGCTTTTGTTTAACTTCACTTAGCTCCCTTGCTTCCTTTACTCGATTTTCTTACTCAATGCACCTAATTAAATAAGAACAAACACAATAAGGAACAAGAAAGAAAATAAAGTAAAGACATGATCAAAATAGTACTAATTTCTATTTGTTTCCAAAACACGGCGTTGCCAATTCAATCTCTGGCAACGACGCAAAAAACTTGGTGTTGTCATCCAACTCTCAAGGGCTATCTCCATGGTAGGAATGACCTCATTCTTGATGGAAACCCTAGAAGAATGGAAGAACTCCCAAAGATATGTTTCTAGCCTCTCCTCCTCTCTTTTCTTCTTCTCTAAGAATGTTTTCTAGTATATTGATATGCATATGATATAAATGGCTCAAAATCCTTATATAAGAGGCTCAAGTATCATACCCAATGGTCTGGACTCGTGCACAAGGGTCCTTGGAATGATTGCACCATGAGACAACTTTTAATGAGCTGGAACTTATTTTTTTTTCGGACTTGAGGAGGTTCGATGGATCGAACATGCTGAGATCCATCGAATGCTGCAGAGATCGATCCATCCTTAGCGGCGCCTTTTTGAATAAAGACTAATCCTGAGATATTTTGAGATATTTTGGGAAAGAGACAAAAGTAGTAGGTGGGGTGGTAGGTGTGGATAAGATCGAATATTTTTGATCGATCTAAAAAATGTTAGATTGATTGAACATTGTGGAATCTTTTAGATAAGAACAAAGTCGTGGATCTATCTTGATGTGTCCATATCGATGTTGCTTCGATCGATCGAAGGATTCCTGAGATTGATCTAATTTGCTGATTTTCACTTTGGTTCATTCTGCTTTCACTTTGCTCATTTCTTCCATTTAGCTTGAGTTAACTTCTTTAATGTTTTTATTTGACTGAATTAACTTATTTTTGAAATAAGTGCTTGAAAAGGGTAATAATATAAAATTAGTCTAAAATGAGAAAGTAAGATAGAAAAATGTCCTAAAATACCTAAGTTTAAGGAATTTAATTGCGTACTTTTCACTGCTAAAGATGAAGGAAAAGAACGTAAAGTGTGAGTGAAAATCGGCCTATAAGTATGCATGAATTGGGTTGAGTAATCGAAAGCTTATTTCTCTCTTTGTTCTTTCTCATCTCCTGTGTGTATATTTCTTCCTCGATTTGTAATATGTTAAAAAATTGATTTCCTTTCCAGTTCCTTCTTCCTGGTTATTCTCAACAGCCAAACGGTTACTTGAGCTGAAAATGGCGGACTCGGAAACGAGCGATCAGCTCTCTGTCTTCTTACAGTCAGGAATTTACCGTTTCGAAAGCTCAAATGCCATATTCATAGATCCGGTTCGAGTCATCAACCGTTCTTACACTCGATTTAGGGTTTCACCTTCAGCGTACTACTCTCGCTTCTTCAATTCCGGAAACGCCAACGAAGAGCCTAGGGTTTCCTCAAAATCAAGAAAACGAAAACGAAAAGAGAAAAAGCCTCGCACTCTCAACGAAAGAGAAGAACTCGCTGATCAGCGCCATCAGGTACATATCGCCAATTTATAAATGTCCATGTGTATATATAATGTGTGTTTGTGTGTGGTTTGCTATGTGAATTGGTTGTGTAATTGTTGCAGAAGGCGAGGCCTTGTTTGTTGAAGGCTCATGAATCATTACTTGGAGCTACTGATCTTTTGGTGATGATGCAAAAATTGAGTGATGGATGTTCTTTCTCGGAGCATACAGACTCCTGTTTGCCAAGTGCTGAACAGTCTTTTGTTGAGCTTGAAAGTGTTTGGCAGGCCTCTTTGTATGAGATAACCCTTAATTTTAATCAAGCCACACAAAATGGAGGTTTGGTTTCTCATTTGTAGAAATTATGCATAATTTATGAGAGGCAATTTTAATCTATTTTTATTGGCATAGTGAATAACTCAAGTGACACTTGGTGAAAGTTTCAGTTCCAAGAACATGAGGTGTAAATTTAGATTGATAGACACAGAGTTGTAGATGGACAATAGTTCAGTGTCGTAGATGGTTGGTAGTTCTGTGTTAAGAACTTTTCATCGAATACGGTTTAGATATAAGAGCCATCTTCTCTAGGATTGCAAATTAGTCAAGTTGAGCAGGGGTTTGTTCGGATCTTGAATTGACTTGGTCATGCAGCAAGAGCGTTTAGGCTCTGATTGAACTCAAGTTGAGCTCCACATAAGTGTTTGAGCTTGGCTACCCCATATTTGAGAAAACTCGAGCTATTGCAGAAATGATCAGTCTTTCAAGTATCCATTGTTCTTTCAAAATTCAAAATTAGCAGAAGGTTTAAATTTCTCTGAAATCATTTTGTTCCATATCCAACAGAAATGTCTAAATGCGAGGTAATAACGTTGGTCAAACTACATGCTATCATATCCTTACATACTATGTTAACCCATGCTATCATTTTTTTTGTTACATGTTCATAGACAATCTTAGTAAATTTTCTACCAAAGGCTGTAGGCTAGTGGTACTTCCCCACCTTCCAAGGTAGAAGGTCGAGGGTTTAAGTCCCTATAGGGGCAAGTTGGGTGTGAGAGTGTGTTTCTTGCCAAGGTAAGAAGGGGGAAAAAAAAAAAAAAAAAAAAAAAATCCTTTGGTGAATTTTCTCTCATTTTATATTCAATAGGTGCAATTTCAATCGTCTCATGAAAATGCTCCTCTATAATTTAAGCCTTTCTTGCCTTTCCAAATACCCACCTCAACCTCCAGTTTTGGCTACGTTCGTTTTCTAAGTATGTTGGTTGTTTCATATCATTGTCGTTTATATATAATCCTATAAAGAATTATGAAGTGTGATAAGTTTGATATATGTTTTTTATAATTTACCTTTCAATTTTAGAGGAATACATCAATCACCAAATATGTTGGAAACACTCCTCTATTTACCTATCGTGCTTTAATTCTATGATATTTTCTTTGTGAATAATCGAGTCTAACTAACATTGATACTCGCTTTCTGGTATATCTCGATACTCAAGATTCCCAACATTGACAATCGTTAAAGTGAAGAATCCATGTATACCATTTTTTTCGTCTTATCTTAAAACATCTTAATTCTAGAATTTTTCTCCAAACCCCTGATTTGGTACTTACCCTTGCTCTAATTTCATCAATTTAAATTATATATATATATATATATATATATATATATATATATATATGTCTTTTAAATACCATTATCATCAGTAAATACCATTATATGATGGAATCTTATTCTGATTTTTTTTTTTAGTTCATCCATGACTAAGGTAAGATACATGATTAGTATTTTTTTTGATGCAAGGATACTGTATTTCGAAATTCACTTCTTTCACCTACAGTTTGTTCGGAGTTCTATTATACATGTCCTTTATAATGTCAGCGTGTCTATATGTGACTCCTTTGTCTTCTAAAATCTATATAAGAACATGAAATTAATACCTGTCACACTTTAAAATTTCAAAACTCACCCTTCAAAATTTAAAGATTTATATTGTTAATTTGGAAAAAAAATTCAAAATCTAAAGATAATTAGGGAAGTTTTAATTTTTATACTTTTCAAAAGGGACACTTATTTGGGACATTTATTTTGCAATGGAAGGAGTATAAGTGTTCAAGGTCTGTTCTTTTATGTAGTGTGCATAGGCAGGACAAACACTAGTTTGTGAATTTTCTTTTAGTGGCCATTACATAATTGAGGAACGTCACGGTTCGTTCTGTTATGTACTATGCATAGGCACAACAAACACTAGGTAGTGAATTACTTTTAGGGGCCATTGATTGATGCAATGACAAAGCTGGGGTTAACAAATGCCAGCATGTGAATTTGAGCAGGTATTTTTTGCAAAAATGCCAACGTTAGATCTATTTCCAGTCTTCCCACCTGAACCAGCACTGCACAATGACATTTTCTATAAGTATATTAATGGAAATTTTAGTATCTGCAAATTTTTCATTATGGAATTGGTAGATCAATTATTTTTTAGTTTTAGTTTCACTCTACAAAGAGTTAGATTCAAAATTTTCAATGTGATCTTTGCGGCAAACATAAAAAATATTGACACTTAAAGTTGATGACTTCTTGATTCATTGGAGAGAATGCACTCAATATACACCACAAATTAGAGCTTCTACAAGTTTTACTCACTAAGACATACAATAAGGACTAATGACTACTTCCAATGCCAAAGGCATGATCTTAAGTTATGGTAATAATGGGAATGAATGAAATTATATGTCATCTTTGACAAGATGCAAAATTTGAATTAGTCTTTCTGCTATCATAAAGCATCAAAATGTGAATCTGAGCCCCCACCACAGATAAAAACACCGTTTTCAAGATGTATATCCAAGTTAGATTTCACTGGCTGAATATTTTCAGTTGCTCTAACAAAATGATCAAATCAGTCATTTTTGTAGGCTTCCCCTTTGAAGTACGAGTTCCAGTATTGTCACTTACTAGAACCACCTCCTTGAGTGGCCTTGAGAAACTACATCATAACATTATTACTTTGTACAATGGCTTTAGCGTGGTAGTCTTATAGCACAGATGGTTAAATGTGCATTTTAAAAGCCTTTTTTGGTTACATTTAAAATTTGTGTGTTCCTTTTTAGAATTTATGTTTCTTGCACTACTTTTATTTGCAAGCTTTCTGTCATCTCAAACAAGTGTCATCTTATACTTCAGCTTCTGAATTGAAATGACTTTTGCATTCATATTGGTTTCTCAGGTTCCTCGCTTGTTCAATACGGTGAACAAAGGGTGATCCCTGTATTTAATAACTTAGTTGCTAATGAGACAAGTAATGATGTGGAGGCTGATTTCCTGAACAGCAAATATATAATACCTAGAAAGAGTTGTTTCTACATGGTATGAAATTAAATCATTTGAAAACTTTATATTTATTCATGAAGGAACTGTCATTATCCAGCGTTTGTTCCTGATGGAAAATTATTTAAAATAGACTTTTATCTTGATTTATGTATAACTCATTTTTGGTCCTACCAATATAGTAATGGTTTTAATCCAGTAGTCCATTACTTTGTTGATCTCTGTTCTGTTCTAATTTTTAGAATCTTACTGAGATTTTTTACTTTTAACTTTTATTTATTTATTTTGTATGCTACAGTTCTGATGTGTCTTACATGATGCTTATGCTTTGTTTTTCTTATCATGTTGAAGTCTGATCTGAGGCAGATTCACAACCTGATTCCTGGTATGTTTACTGATGCAATAGTAAGCAGCTTTTGTGTGAGTATGCGTGGTTAAGAAATCTTATGCTGTTAAGTGGGCAAATGCACATTGTGGACAGTGACATGATAGCTCCCTGGTTAATGGTCAAATATGAAGTAGATGCATCTGCATCCAATGCTTTCTCTTATGAAATCTCCCTTGGCAAAGTTGGTCCCTTTGAATGAATGCTAGTATCACTATTATACCATACTTTGAACCTTGTGCGTTTCTATGGCAAATTGGCTAAGACATTGCAAAAGTTTAATGGTTATTTTTCAGGCTTGGTCATAAGATACCTGATGTATAGTTTATAAGAATGCTTCTTTAACAAAATATAAAAAGGAAATTTATGATATAAAAATTTTTAGCTGGTGGGAATCATTCTCTATCTTTGGTGCCATGCCTTTTCATTTGTGTAAATTTGCTTGTCTTTCTCATTTTTTTTGCGTGAGATTTTTGTTGGACATAACATAAAGTAGTTACAGTTCTACCTTTTTATAAATGTGTCAGATGTTCTCTATTTCTCCATGCAGCTGAATCTGATTGCGGCTTCAATCTTATAGTGCTTGATCCACCATGGGAAAATAGCTCTGCTCATCAGAAATTGAAGTATGTATTAACATTCTCGTGCTTTCCTTCTGGTTTCTAGTATTGAAACTTTACCTGGTTTTGTTGAATCTATGATCATGTTCTCCATCCTCTAGAGCCTTTCAATTTAAAAATCCGTTACTAGAAATAAGGCACTTTTGCATTAATACTGACGGAGTGAACTGCTAGAATTTTACCTGATACAAGTTAAATGTATTTTGTATCCATTAATAGTTCTTGGATTTGAGAAAGAACTCATTGTGTTCTGATTTTTGAGAAATTCTGGAACAAGATTAATTCTTCAATTTGTAGTTGCAAAGGTGATGGAAGATATTTATTTTATGTAATTGTAAGCTGGATATAGGCTTAATTGATCGCATTATTATTAGTGATAGAAACTATTGGCAGCTGTGGAATTGCATAATATTAGGTTGCAAGTTACAACACTTAACTTTCTTTTTCTACGCTAAAACCATCATTTTTCCTCATTGGAGATACTTTTAACAAAGTTATTCACATTCTCTTGTTGGTGCTTTGTTTTCCTCATCATTGCAGGTACCTAACTTTGCCTAACCGATACTTCTTGTCTCTTCCCATTATGCAACTTACTCATACAGAAGGAGCATTGGTAGCCTTATGGGTGACCAACAGGGAGAAGCTGCGGAGTTTTATTGACAAAGAACTATTTCCTACATGGGGAGTCAAATATATGGCTACTCTTTACTGGTTAAAGGTGATACTTTAATTACTTAAATATGGTAATAATCATTCAAAAAGCTGCCAGTTCTTGGGTCCAAAAACTTGATGTACTTGAATGTTATAGGTGAAAGCAGATGGCTCACTGATAAGTGAATTGGATCTCTTTCATCATCGGCCATATGAATGCCTCCTCCTGGGTTACTGTCATAGGGTACGTGACTTTGATTTCTGACTGCACTCCTCCCGGATTATTTGAATGCACAATTTATGAATTGGCTGTCACACTTTACAGGCTGTGGATTCTGAATGCTTGTCAATATTCAAACCTATTCCAGACAATCAGATCTTCATCAGTGTTCCTGGGGATTACTCTAGGAAGCCCCCAGTTGGAGGTATTGTTTTCCTGACATGGCGTACTATCCTTAAGATTTGGATCACTCTATAAACTCTTACCTTCTGGAACTATTTAGTTTTCTTTTTGTCTCTTTCCTGTTAACACGTCCCATTAGGAAAAGGTCCTTCTATAACAAGCATAGGTATTCAGATTTATCAATCGAAATGTGGATATGTTGTCGTTTATTGATATTGGCTCATGGAAACTATTATTCTGTTGAGAATTTCAGAGTTGCTACAGGAATATGTGCCAGGAGTTAAGCCTGCTCGATGCATTGAACTATTTGCTAGAGAAATGATGGGTGGATGGACTTCTTGGGGGAATGAACCCCTTCACTTTCAAGAGGCAAGGTATTTCTTTTAAGTAAGAGGACAGAAGAATAATGCTTCTGGAAGAAACCTCTTTGCTTAATGACCTGGACCCCAGTATTCTTCTGTAAGTTGTTACCTCATACAGATTGCATTTTCTGCCCGTTGAAATTTTGGTTGATAAACTAGTGAAATGCATTTGGTTGTATCATTACTTTAGAATTCTAGTTCAAACATTTGGTGCAATCTCAGCAAAAGCGAAAATGGTATTGTGAATGCCAGAATCTCTCTCCTCGCCATGCTGTCTTTGGTTGTGTTCCTCCACTTTCTAAATTTGCTTTCTTGCATTTACTGAAAGCAGCTTTCCTGCCCAGGAGTGGAAGATACATAAGCTTTGCAGGTGACAGGTGGCTTAAACAATGATTCAATACCAATTGCTCAAATTTCTTCTTCTTTTTTTTTTTTTTCTGAAAATTCTTATTTTAGGAAAATTTGGAATTCCAAGTGAACCTGATATTAGTACAGTATCTAGGCCATTGAGAATGTATATGTTTCATGTGACATGTATCTGTCAATGATAGTAATGTGCAGATTGCAAATTTTGATTTATGTGAAAATACAATATTACCCAAATACTTTCCTTGCACTGAGCTAGGACCATGAATGTTGACAGTTTGATTTTTCCTGAGAGCTGCTGCCCCCTTTTTTATTTTTTATTTATTTGTTTATTTTTTTGGCCCTGGCAAACAACACCACCACTAAAATCAACATAAATAATCTTTGGCAGCCAAAGCCAGAATATCAACCGGAAGATGAACAAGAGCAACGTCAGACTTAAGATGTTGCCGAGATAGCTGGGCAAGAGCATAGCTTTGGCTGCCTTGACAATCTGGTAAAGATACAAATAGAAGCTGTTGCATCAAGCTGTTCGCAATCGCAAGAATAACAGAAAACAAGCTGATCATGTAGAAGCGACTTGGGAAATGATTATGATATAAGATAAGAGTATTTGCTATTTCACCCGATTTATTTACTCCGATTTGTAACCGACTAATGATCTGGCATTTCGTTTATAATGCACATTAAAGACATAAAGCTTTTAGGACTAAAATATCCTCAAATTTTCAGTCTCTCCCTTTTCTTTCCCAACCAATTGCCAACCTTCTCCAACCCATCCTCAAATCAGACTTTACCTTCTTTAACAAATTTTAGAATATCTTCCGATCGTGGCCGGAAAATCCAATATAAACACAAAGCCATCAATGTTTTCTCGAAACGATTGCTTGCCGAAACATATTTTCATAATAAGTACTTTCACCCTTATTTCCTCCCTGAAATATAATTGAAACTTACTACCATAAATTTGCCTTTGTTAAAAACTAAAGACATATAAAACACGTCTTCAAAATGTTCTCTTTTCTTTTATTTAATTATTTATTTATTTTTCTTGGAGATGGAAAACATATAAAATTGTAGTTGAAGAGAATACAGAAAAAAATTTGATTTAGTGTAACTTTTTTATTGAAAGGAAAAAATAAAAATTATGGAGGAATGACAAATATGCAAGGAGAAAAGGTAAAGAAGATATGAGGATAAAATGAGTAAAAACTGACGAGGCATATTTTGGTTTACAAAAATTTTGTGTGTATAATATACCATAAAAGATTTGGGAGTACAAATAACCTATTACCATATAACAGGTGATTTTTTATCGGTTTTGTATTATTTTTCTATAAAATATCATTTTTCTTTGACATATCATTTTCCTGTAAGATATCATTTTTCTTTGACAAGCTCGTTTACCAAATATTTTGTGACTTCTCAATTCGGTTTAATGCGCTCTTTGTCAAAAGCCAAGATTTATAATTGTTGACATTGATGAATTCAAAACTAAAAATCAATCAATCAAAATTTAGGGTAGAGTTTATGGGCCCTAGAATAATTCATGAACCAATGAACGTTGATGGTAATAATTGGAGTAACAGTCGTTTTGCCCTCGAAAGTTAGTGACCTTTGACAAAGCTGTCAAATATGTATTGGTTCCTCACTTTCTTTAATTTCTTGACATTTTTTCAGATTGATTCTGGCTTGGTACGGTATTAAATAGGGAAAGAATTAGTTATTAATAGAATTTGATACGAGACGAAGAGCAACAAGTCGTTGTAGTATAGTGGTAAGTATTCCCGCCTGTCACGCGGGTGACCCGGGTTCGATCCCCGGCAACGGCGCTTTTTGGTCATTTTTTCATTCCTCAAACAGATACATTATCAGGGTATATCAATGCTACTAATATGATTCCATTTTGCACTATAGTTAAAAAAATTATTATTATTTTATTTTATTTTTTATTTTCGATTGTCTTCTGAAAACCACATTTAGACGTCAAACTTTTCTTGAATGTATCGACATTCATAAAATATATAAAAAAATAAAATAAAAAAGTTTGAGGGTTGAGTTGCCAATGACACTGTCTTGTAGACAGTCCCAGAAAGTAGATAAACTTGAAGTTTTTTTTTTTTTTAATCAATTTTTATTATTTTTTTTAGCAAGATATAAAAATCAAGTTAGAGAAATTGAAAAATGAATTCAACATAATGATAATAATAATAATAATAATACGTAGTAGCTATTTTGTTGCTCCATTGCAAATTTAGAGCTACAAATTATAAACACTCTAGGTCCATATACATCAAAAAGACGTTATTGGTGGGTTGGGAGAGAATGTGCAATATATATATATATATATATATATTTCACCTAAAATTATACATTTCTTCAGCATGAAGATAAAAACTAATGATGGAAGCTTTGGATGACACTGTAATTATGTTGTATGGATAATTTGGAGTATGATGTACTGAGGAAACTTTCAAAACCATATGAAAAACGTTTGGAATATGAAAAACCACATAATCAAGTATTAGAGTACACAGATATTGACGTGTTTGTCAATGTCAAAAATTTGATAGCTCGTACTCTTCTTCTATAAATCAATGCTATAAAAATTGTTACAACTTACAACACAACATTAATATTATTATTAATTTTATAGCTAAAACCCCATTTCAATTTCATCTAATTTTGCCTATGGGCAATATAATTAGCCAGAGCAATCAATGGAGCTGCTTTGTGAGGATCAAACTCAGCTAGCTGATCCTTGGCCTCTCTGTTCAGCTTCTCTGCAAATTCCCTCGATTTTTCGAGTCCCATCAGCTTCGGATATGTCACTTTATCAGCCACCAAGTCCTTCCCCGCAGTCTTCCCCAATTCTTGGGAAGATTTGGTCACATCAAGAATGTCATCCACCACTTGGAACAACAACCCAATACACCTCGCGAACTTCCTCAATTTCTCTACTTCCTCGTCCTCGCCGCCGCCCAACACCGCCCCCAGCACCACCGCCGCCTCCAGCAATGCGGCCGTCTTGTGTACGTGGATGAACTCGAGCTGATCCAACCCGACGTCCGACACTCCGGTGGACGATATGTCAACCACTTGCCCCGCCACGAGCCCCTCTGCTCCGATTGATTTCGCCAATTCGCCGACCGCGCTGACGATTCGGGCCGGCGAGACGCCCTCGGTGGCGGTGGCGATGTACTCGAAGGCGAAGGCGAGGAGGGAGTCGCCGGCGAGGACGGCCACGTCCTCGCCGAACACCTTGTGGTTGGTGGGCTTGCCGCGGCGGAGGTCGTCGTTGTCCATACAGGGGAGGTCGTCGTGGATCAACGACATGGTGTGGATCATCTCGACGGCGCAGGCGGCGGGCATGCAATTGGATTCCTCGCCGCCGACGAGCTCGCAGGCGGCGATGCAGAGCACAGGCCTGACCCGCTTGCCGCCGGCGAGGAGAGAGTAACGCATGGCTTCGTGGATCTGTGGTGGGTCTCTGATCAAAACGGACTCGTCGAGAGCGTCGTTCACGGACATGGCCTTCTGGATCATGTAGGCCTTGAAATCGAATTTGGTTTCTTCATTTGCGCTCTCTCCTTCTGTGATTGCTTCTTCTTTTGTGATGATCGCAGAAATGGCGGTGAAAGAATAGAAGGGTCGGTTTTGTCTAAGATTGAGAGAGAAATTGGGTCTGGTTTTCAATGGATTGTAGATTAAACCCGTGAAAGATTTGCATCTGTTAGGTTGATTCAGAAGAGAACAGGTTTGAACCCACGAATCCACCACATTCATTGATCTCATTGCTTAGTGGCTTATACAAGATGATGGATGATGATTACATACATATACTATGTGTCCAATTTAGGACTCCAATTTTGTGAACCCACCCCACCACTCAAATAGTACTACGTTTTAATAAAAAGGGATGAGATTTTGTAGCGAGGTTGGAAAGTGGGCAACTTTATTAGAAAGACACCAAAGCATTGTGGGAGGGGCACCATCAAGAGATAGGGTTTTGGATGAGAGCCAACAGAGGGGGTAGAACAGTGACATGTGGCCAATGTCGATGATAGGATACAAGTGCAAACGCGTTTTTTACTGGTTAAGGGGACTTTCACAATCCACTAACTTCTAATTTCATAATCAATAAAAATAGTCATATCATCCGAAGAAAATAAATAAATAAATAAATAAGTCGTCTCATTCGTATTGGCAAGATCTGGGTCTGTTTGTACGGTTGAGTAACTCAAACATTTAAAAGCTCAATACTATCTGATATTTTTGGTGTTCCTGAAATTAAAAATTTGCAGACGGACCATGGTTGTTCAACAATTATTGGGTTTTTCTAATGGTTATTTGGTTGAGCCTGATGGGATTGCGGGTGGTCTTGTCCTTTGATGGACTGATAATGTTCAGTTAAGGGTGGTGAATAAAATTTGATTTTTTATTACTGTTGTTGTTTTATCCCTTACCCAGCCACCCTGGTATTTTTCCCTTCTATATGCTAATACCGTGGACTGGGAAAGAACTTTGCAATGGGAGTATTTTATTAATAGTGCCCGTTATTGGTCTGGTAGGTGGGTTCTCATTGGTGATTTTAATGCTATTTTACATATTTCTGAAAAGCATGGGGGCCGAGTTAAGCAAGGGTGGCAGCTTCGGTCCTTCCGCACTCTGCTTGATCGTTGTGCTTTGATGGATATCGGTTATGTGGGTTTTCCTTTTACCTGGTCTAACCAGAGAGACGGACCAGCTAATATTCAGGAGCGTTTGGATTGAGCTCTAGCGACTAAGGATTGGATATCTATTTTTCCTCGAGCTCAATTATCTCATCTTTCTGTGGTGGGATTAGATCACTATGCCTTGCTTCTTGAACTTTTGCCTGTGGTCCGGTCTAGGAAACGGCAATTTCACTTTGATGCTCATTGGACATTATTGGAAGATTGTAGGCAAATTGTTGATTCGGCTTGGTCTACTCCGATAGTTGGTTCTTCTCAATTTCAGTGGTTGTTCTCTTATTCATTGGGCTAAGCTCCGCAATCTTAATTCCCGCGCTCGTATTGATAGTATGGTTGTTAGGCTTCGTGAGTTGAAAGCTCGAATTTCTAATTACTGTCATGCGGAAGTGGTTTAATTAGAAAATTATTTAACTTCCTGTTGGTTAGAGGAAGAATTGTTTTGGAAGCAGAAGTCTCGCCTCCTTTGGTTGCAAGAGGGGGGATCGTAATTTAAATTTTTTCATGTCACTGCTAAACGGAGGTGAGGCCGCAATACAATTTCAGGGTTTTTGATGCCGGGAATCAGTGGGTGACTGATGAGACCTTAGTTCAGTCGGTATTTTTGAGTTATTTTCAAAGTCTGTTTCAGTCTTCCCACCCTACGAATGTTGGTCAGTTCTTGAGATATGTTCCTGTACGGATTTCTGCTGAGATGAATGCAAATCTTTTGTCAGCCCCGTTGGAGTTGGAAATGAAACAGGCTATTTTTTCTATGCAATCGATGAAAGACGTTGGGCTGGATGGGATGACACCGTTGTTCTATCAGAAATATTAGGAGGTAATTAAAAGGGATATTGTTGGTACTGTTTCTAGTTTTTTTTTGCTACCGGGGAATTTGTTATCCAGTTTTAATCATACCAATATCGTTTTAATTCCTAAGACTTCCTCTTCGACGTAGGTTAGTTATTACAGACCAATTTCTTTGTGTAATATGTCTTATCGGATTATTGCAAAAATTATGACTAACCGCCTGAAAGGGATTATTGGCTCCCTTATCAGTGACTCCCAAAGTGCGTTTGTTGCAGGTCATCATATTACGGATAATATTTTAATTACTTATGAAATTTTGCATTATTTAAAAAATAAGCGAAAGGGGAGTAAGACGTGGTTGGCGTTGAAACTTGACATGAGTAAAGTTTATGATATGATTGAATGGGAATTTTTATTACACATGCTGTCTAGGCTGGTTTTGAATGCTCATTGGATTCAAATGATAACAGCTTGCATTTCCATGGTTTCTTTCTTTTTAAAAATTAATGAGAGTTCGGTGAGTTTTTTCAAACTGTCTAGGGGTTTGCGTTAGGGCGATCCTCTATCACCCTATTTATTTATTATCTGTGCTGAAGCTCTTTCTCTTGCTCTTTTGAGAGCCCAGCAAGCTCGGTTGTTATTTAGTATTCGTATTTGTTGGGGCGCTCCGTTTATTTCTTATCTTTTTTTTGCTGATGATTCTATTGTGTTTTGTGCTGCAGTTCAGGAGGAAGTTTTTGTTCTGAAATGAATTTTGGCAGATTATGAACGGGCCTCTAGGTAACAAGTGAATTTTAGTAAATCATCTATTTTCTTTTCGACTAATGCCCCAGGTTCCTTGCGCAATTTTCTTAGTCGATCCTTGGGATTGCGAATGCAGGGTTTGCATAGTTGGTATCTTGGTGTGCCGGCAATTTTGGGAAGGTCCAAGCGGGATGTGTTTCAGTTTTTGCTGACTAAAATTCAGGACAGGTTATCTTTTTTGAAGGCGAAGTCTTTGTCTATGGGTGGGAAAGAAGTGTTGATTAAGGCCGTGTTGAGTGCTTTACCTATGTATGTTATGTCATCTTTTAAGCTTCCCATTACATTGTATCAAAATTTGATGAAGCATATTCGATCCTTTTGGTGGTGTAATAAGGATAAAAATCGGGAAAATTCATTGGATTCATTGGGATCTTCTTTGCCGGAGTAAGAATTCGGGTGGACTTGGGTTTCGCGATCTGGAGACTTTCAATTTAGCGCTTTTAGCGAAGCACGCTTGACATTTTCAGGTTACAAAGCAGGGATTGGTGTATTAGCTTTTTAAGGCCAAGTATTTTCCTACTTCGTCATTTTTGGATGCTTATTTGGGGTTCAATCCTTCATGGGGTTGGCGTAGTATTTGGTCTTCTCAAACTTTGTTGCGTCAGGGATTACGATCATTGATTGGGAATGGCACATCCACGCATGTTTGGGATGATCATTGGGTCCTTATGCTTCCACAGAAACTTTCACCACCCCCGGTTCATGTTCCTTTCTCTTATGTGGCAGAGTTAATTGATCCTGCTACGTCTTTGTGAAAAGTGGATGTTTTGTCTTAGTTTTTTCCTCCTCTTACAGTGTAGGAAATTCTCAAAATTCACATAAGCTGGTGGGATAAACCAGATGTTGTCATTTGGGCTCCGGAGAGGTCGGGTAAGTTTTCCGTGCGGTCTTCTTATAAATTGGCTATTTCAATGTCTAATTTTTTGGGGGTTGCTTCTCACAATTGTTCTTGGTCTTCCATTTGGCAGTGTCATACTCTGTCTAAGGTGCAACACTTTCTTTGGCGCTGTTGTCTTCATGCTTTGCCGGTTCGTCTTGCTTTGTTAGATCACGGGTGTGATGTGTCGCCTCTTTGCCCTCGTTGTGGTTTGCATGAGGAGTCTGTTGTGCATCTTATTTTTTCTTACCCTCATTCCATTCAGGTGTGGAAGTTATCTCCTCTGTGTCTTGATTTTTTGAATTATTCTTTCTCTTCTTTTAGGATTGGATGGAGAATTCTGGTGCATCGGGCTATACTTTCCTCGGAGTTTGAGGGTGTTATTTCCTTTTGTGTTTGGGGTATTTGGAAGGCGCGGAATCGTTTGGTCTTTGATGGGATTCTATTGCGGCCTGAGGTTGTGGTTTAGAAGGTAGTTGTCAGTTTTTTGGAATTTAAAGATGCTCGGGTCCTCTATCTCTTTACATCCAGGGCCGGCTAACACTTTGGTGGATTCTTGGCATCATCTTCCATCTGGAACTGTTAAGTGTAATTTTGATGCTTCATTTTGTCGGCAGTCTTTGCTGGGGGGAGGCGAAGCTATTTTTCGTGATTTTCGTGGCGCTGTGCTTCACGCAGTTATTTTTTGTCCCTTTTTCGCTTCTTCATAGTAACTCACCAAAACGATCTGTATCCACATCGGTTCACGCTTCCGTGTAGCTTACTGGGTCCAACTCATGTTTAACAGGGATGTCCATAATGGTCTCACCTAAAAACATGATTCTGTCGAATTGGATGATAATCCTCCCACTACATCAATGTACCGATGCAAGAATCTGTGTAGTAGATGATGCTAACGCATCAATAGGGAATTCATATATTATTCTCAATCTCTATAATAAGTGTGTTCACATGTGGTACATCTGGTACTCATACCAAATTCTCTAACATTATGCTACTAGGTATGTGATTCATAATATGATTCTCCTATAGATAAACAGTGAGTGAAAACAATCAACTTTTATCATTGAGATCATAAAATAATCCGTCCTAGTGACATTTTAGAGTAGCTATCAAATCTATCATGCGTATGATCTGTTTCCAACTTACTTGTCCATATCAAGCGCACATGTGCAAGACTACCCCATATGCGCATGTGATTCAAACTAAGATTTAGTCAAAAACACAACTCAACGGTATCCTTGAGACAGACTAAGATGGAATGCAGTTCATAATACGCATCGATATCATTAATGCTAAACTCTTAAATGAAAGAGATAATGTGGCATCACTGATCATAGATCTAACCATGTTAAGTGGAATTCTGTTATTCTTATTTGACACCTAAATGCATTTAGCGTCAATTGCGAAAAACTGGTACACAATACCCGCATTGACCATATAGTCTTTGCACTATCCGAAGAAATACTCATATCCTCGATCAGATCGAAGTGTCTTGATAAGTTTACCTAATCTGTACTCCACATCAGTCTTAACCCTCTCGGAATATACCGAAAGTATAAGACTTGTGTCGCAGCAGGTAAATTTATCCAAAACGTGAGTAATCTTGCTTGGATGTTCATAAGACCACACATGTCAGTGTGTACCGACTCCAATTGTCCTTTATGTCTATTTCACCTGGCTGATTAAGCCCTGAGAGTTATCTATCCTTCAAAACAGGGTTCACAAGTTTGGTTTAGACTCCTCTGCCT